AAAAATATATATATACATTTGGCGGCTCTGGGATGAGTTTAATTTCTAGCTGGGAGAATTTTCATGCTCAGCATTTTGGTTGGGGGGGGCGGGGGTGGGGACTGCAATAATTAGATGCATCCAGAAAAGTTTTCTGGGAGTTGAACTGTATTACGTAATACATCAAGTTTTATTTGATATGTTGAGCACCTTTGCCTTTCTAGCCCCAAACCCAGTGAACACATTATCTTTCTAGCTGCACATGCATTCTGAGTTTTATGAATTGGAAGGAGTTTTGCTGGAGAAGGCAGCAAACAATGTTCAGTATGGTGACATGGGAGTCCTTTGGAATCAAGAGGCTCTGGCTTCAGATCTCAGTTATTTCCTGTTATTTTGGGCCAGTCACTTAAATTCTCTGGACCACAGATTAGCCCCCAACTGTGCAAAGCGGATAATAATATCTAACTTGGAGACTGTTGTGAAGATAAATTTGATTATAAATGTACAATGTCTGAAGGTGACACTTGATTAACGATCATTCTCTCACACTGCCTCCCCCAGGCTAACCAATGAGTGAGATTCAATAAGTGTTTGCAGACTCAATGTTTACAGCAGGACTTTTGTATTCGTTATCTAATGCTGTGTAACAAATCACTTTGAAATGTAGTGGCTTAAACCAACACGCATAGATAATCTTACAGGTTTTCTGGGTCATGAACCTGCGCATAGTTTAGCTGGGTGGGTCTGCCTTAAGGTCTCTCGCGAGATTGCAGTCAAGCGGCAGCCAGTACCGCGACCCCTCTGCCTTCTAGCTCACTTGTGTGGGTGTGGGCAGGCTTCAGTATTTGTGGATCGAGGGCCTTAATTCCTCACTGGATGCCGTCAGAAGGGCCTTTATAGTTTCTTGTCACTTGAGCCTCACTCTGGGGCAGTTCACAACAGGGGGGCTGGTAAGTGAGGTAGAGCTAAAGATAGAGAGAGAGAGAGAGAGACAGAGACAGAGACAGACAGAGAGAGAGATAGCTGCAAGTTAGTGGGTTAAAACAACAATAAACATTCATTGTCTCTGATGGTTTCTGTGGATCAGGACTTTGGGAGTGGCCTGGTGGTTCCAGGTCAGGATATCTCACCAAGGTTATCTCTCCAAGGTTACAGTCCTACAAAGACTTGTTTGGGGCTAGAGGTTTCACTTTCAAGATGGTTCATTCCAATGGCTGGCAAGTTGGGAGGAAGCTCAGTTCCTCTCCGCGTGGGCCTTTCCACAGGGCCGCTTGAGCGCCCTCACCACATGGTAGCTGCCTCCCGCCAGAATGTGAGATCTGAGAGATTCAGAAAGAAACCGCTATGTGCTTTGTCACTCAGCCGTGGAAGTTGCCCAGCGTCTCTTCTACAATAGCCATTGGTCACACAGGTTGGCCCCACTCAGTGTCGAATTAGACTTTACAAAAGCACGGATTCCAGAAGGCAAGGACCTTTGGGAGCCACCTTGGAGACTGGCTACCACAGCAGCTGCCTCGTCACAGGTGCCACAGCCACAGCCACAGCCACAACCACAACTACAACCACAGCCACCTCCTCTGGAGCCGTGACTTTGTGCATGGCACTGTGCCACAGACTTTACAGACATTATCTCATTTAATCCTGACAGCAACCCTAAGATCCAGGTGCTCTTACAGAGAAGGAAACTAAAGCTTAGAGAGGCTACAAACTTGTTCAAGGCCACAGAGCTAGTGTGTGGCAGGTGAAAAGAACACTGGAGCACATCACAGACAGACCTGAGTTCAAGCTCAGCTTTGCTCGATTTTTAGCGGTGGTGTTACTGGGGCTGCTGCGAGGAGACAGTGAGAATGTTACCGAACAGCACTTGGGTCCTGCTGCCCACCGCCACCCCTGGGCAAAATTCCAGGGGCAAAGCTTTGGTGGTGAAGGGAAGGAGTGTTTATTCAAAAGCTCCACAGTCTTGGAATAACAGCTTTCCACATGCATTATTAGTCACTTAAGCCTATCGGTTAAGGCTAAACTCTAACACCTGAGTTCTATCATTTCCCCCTGTTAGTTTTAATTATTTTATCTCTATAGGGTTAGTTTCCAAACTAAAACAACATAAGATACAAAGGCTACACAATTTTGGAAGAACGGCAGGCTTCTGCCTCAGAGGTCATCCTCTCTAGAACACCCCGAAAAGAATCACCCTGCCGCCCTCTGCCAGGCCAGCCTGATCCTAGGCTGTGCCCGATGTTCCTTCCCATCCAAAATACCATCCATTGGGAAATACAGGCAGCTGCAGCATCATCATCCAGGCATCCTGGAGGAAGAAGAGAGCCCAAGAGCCAAAGAGAACCCACACCTGCCCAACTGAGAGCTCTTCTTTTATTTCAAATCTTCTTGCCCATAATTCCATGCGCTCTAGAGGCATTTAGCTTCTCAGCCAATCCCATCCTAGACTGTTTACCATTGCCTCAGCAAACTCCTTCCACGGACCCTTCTTACTTCTCCCCAGTGATCTGATCAAATCTCTCTGTATCAAGAATGTGTATGGGTACTGCGGAGCACTATACCAAAGACCACAGAGAGGCAAAATTCTTTCTTCCCTCTGCCGGCAATGTGAAACCATGTGAGAATATACATCCAAGGTCTGATGTCTCACTTTTGGTAAATAATAGACATAAATCACTCTGGTTTTGATTTTTATTAAACCAACCATAACAAGAGCTTAAGACTGGCTCCTGGAGACCCAAACAATTAGCATTGGAACCTATGACATTTTCTGGAAATGGAATGTCCTGTGTTTTTGATGAAATTCTAAAGAATTGCGAAATAGGAATGGTTTTACCTCCTGCCCAGCTTGTATGGTAAGGAGGTTGGGAGTGATTCAGTATCACTCTAAAAACTACTCAACCTAAAGAGGACTTTACATTTGTCCAAATGATTTTAAAGACATTACTAAATTCACAACATGTGTGTACGAGAGAGAGAGAGAGAGATAGAAAAAGACAGAGAGAGTGAGAGAGACAGACAGTTATGTAAAGAGTACGCCCGGCACACTAAATCATATCCAGAGTTTAAGTTCATGTGCCCAAGGGAACCTAAGGAAACAAGAACGACAGTACTGGGTCAGGTCTACTCTCTTTTTGTATTCCTAATGTTTGGAGGCAAATTAACAACTGTAGGAGAAATTGTTTGCCTTCTTGTGTGTCATTATCAAAGGCCAGGGGCCTTCCTACAACGCATTTCCTAAAAAAAACACACACACCTTCATACGCCTGAATTTTTGCATAAAACTTTAGGGGCTTTAAAACTCCCCAAAGCCCATGGATGGTGTCCTGATGTTCATGGATTCCAGGATGAAAACCCCCAAATGGTAAATCTTTGGGAGAATTTATATTTTCCATACTTGACAAACTACTTTGCGATACGGAACTTTCTAAACTTTCCTCCATCACATCACAGTTTCTCATTACCTGAAACAGGCATTGGTATTTTTAACTCTTGACCTGATCTACTTTAGCTTCCATGCCTCCAGACTAGAGCAGACAAAAAGTCAAGTCACTGAACCTTAGCATCCTCTAAATTGTCTACAGTGCATCCAGAATGGGAGGATGGTATCGCCTGCGCAATCTCCCTTTGCAAGTAGTCCCAGCACCTATACTCTCCTGACTCTTGCAAACACGTACAATTTATATACAGTAAAATTCACCGGTTTTAGGCATGCAGCTCTGTACATTTTGCCAAATGTAATGTAACCGCCACCAAAATCAAGATGCAAAACGGTCCGACTGCTCCAGAAAGGTCCCTTGTGCCCCTGCGCACTCACTCCTTTCCCCCAGGCCCAGACCCTGGTAACGACTGATCTGATTTTGGTCCTTACAGTTTTGTTGCTCCCACCCCGTGTCTAATAAATGAATCTTACAGAATGTACCTTTTAGGGCCGGATTCTTTCTCTTAGCATGCTTTTAAGATTCATTCAAGTTGTTAAATGATGGAGCACAGTTTGTTTAGCCATTCACCCGTTGATGGACACTTGAGTTATATCCGGTTTGGGGCGTTGATTTTTTTTTTTTTTTTTGGTTTTGTTTTTCTTTTTTTGCATCGGCCTTTTGCTTTTTTGGGGGGGAGGGGTAATGGAAGTGAGGCAGAAAATGTCATTGCGTTCTTTCACCATCTAACTCCCTGGCACTTTCACAAGTGCTGTCCAGGCGCCCCAGCTGCACTGAAGCAGCTGTTCCTTTTGCACTTGGGTGTGTTCCTTTACATTGACTTTTCTTTTCTATAAATCGGGGCTCAGACGTTCCACTGGTAGACCAGATCCAGCTGGAGTAACTCTCACGGCCAACCTGGGTACCTTGAAGGTGTTAGTCTCCCTGCTCCAGGTGTGGTTCACGGGCCATCAGTCTCCAAATCACCTACAAGTTTGTTAGAAAAGCTGAATCTCAGGCTCCACCCAGACCGACAGAGTCAGAGTCAGCTTTTAACAAGATTCCCAAGTGTTTCGTATGCGTATTAAATTTTGAGAAGCACTGGTCATATTACACTCTCGCTACTAAAAATAAAATTTTTTTTCTCAGAGTACTTGGCTCTTTCTTCCAACTTTTTCTTTCCCTCCCTGGAGTAAACCCATTTTATAGTTGAGTAAAGAACTCACTTTTGGGTTTGGGGAGGGGTGAGCGCCGCATCCTCAGAGGATGGAGGAACAGAAGGAAGAGGAAAGGGGATAAAGAGAAGGAACAGAGCCCGCGCTGTTAGACCCTCGCAGCCAAAGCGAGTGGGCGGCGAGAGGCCAAAAGGGCCGGACCCTTGGCAGTCCCCTCGGGGTCCGTTTGAGTCCAGACACCCGAGTTAGAAGGCGGACGGCGGCGCGCCGCTCGGTTGCTTGCAAAACTTCGCAGAGCCGGGTAGGGCCGGGCGGCCGGCCGGGCCGGAGCGGGCGGGGCGGAGGGTGGAGGGACAGCCGGGGGGCGGGGCCGGCGCGGCGAGGGGCGGGGTCAGCGCCGAGGCCGTGGGGGCAGCGACGGCGCCGGGTTGCGGGAGCCGCGGCCGCGCCATGTGGCTACTGGGGCCGCTGTGCCTGCTGCTGAGCAGCGCGGCTGGTGAGTCGGGGGGCGTCCGGCGAACTTCCTACGGGGCGCTGGGCGCGGCGGCCGGGCTGCGATAGCGCCCCCTCCCCGCGCCCAGGCTGCGTCCCCGGGCGCGGGTGTGCAGGGAGGGCGGACCCCGGCGCCGGGCTGGCCGGGACCCCGGCGAGGGGCCGCGGCGGGGTGCGCGGTCCTATTGTGTGGGCGTGCGCGCCGGCTTCTGCTGTGTGGTGTGTGCGCGGGCGGGGCTTTGTGTGCAGCCCGGCTCTGGGGAGCCCGGCAACTGCCCCGATTGGGCGTAGCTCGAGTGAGTCTCTGTGTTGTGTGTGTTGGGGAGAAGAGGAGAGGAAAGGAGAGAACTCTTCCCTGATCCCATCTTCCCATACGCCCGGGGGTGCTCGGAGCTGGCTAGCCTCCCCAGAGCTTCTTCCCGGGTCTTATTTCGTGCACCTTCTGGCCTCAGTTTCCCATCCTCGATCGCGGGGCGGGCCGTATCGCCGCTTCCTTCCACTCCTCCCTGGACTGTGTTTGGTTTGGGCAAAGAGAGATGAAACAGAGCAGGGCCTGGGAATTAATCTTTCCTGCTGGTTGTGGAAGCAGATCATTTATTTGTCATCTGACCACCCTCATTCGCCCTTAAGTGGGCGCCTCTGGGAGAGGACGCGGGCTTCATGTGGCGGCTCTTTGAATCTGGCATCGCCGTAGCGAGTGCATCCTGAGGTGCAGAGGAGCAGCAAGCCTCTTTTCCTCCCAGACAGCGTGCTGTTCCCAGGAACTTTTCTGCTGATGTGGGCACGCTCTGAATTGCAGCTCGGGATCCCTTCCTCCGCCGTCCCTGCCCGCCAGCCACAGCTGTCAGCTGCCCCTCCTCACCTCCCCTTGCCTTTGGCCCCCTGATGTTTATTTCTGGGCAGCTGATGTCCAGAAAGTGGGTGACAGGGCCCAGTGAACTTTCTTCAGCAGCAGCTTGCTTGTTTGACATTTATGCCATCCACATATGTAATTTATGCCTGATTTTCCAAAGTGCTAGCACTTGGTGTTGGAGGTGTCTTTGGTGATGTTTGTTGGGGAAGTTGGGGTTCATTTCATTCTGACCCCCGCCCCCCTCCGCCCCCACACTCCCCATCAGGTGTGTGCTTAGGGAAATCTCCTTTCTTCCTTGAAGCCCGAGTCCTGGCCACTGGCCAGCCTTTTCTTCCCCACTCCTCAGAGACTCCCTTTAGATACCTGGGAACTTGTGGCGTCCAGTGAGGGTGGAATGCTAGTGTGGCTGCTGTGGATTTTTAACCAGGTCTGGGTCAGAGTGCTGTTTCTTTTGAACTATGGGGCCATCCCAGGGAGAGAGTTCCAAGGGGGCGTTGACAGCCACTTGCTGACATGAATGATTATTTGGAAGCAGAACAGGCAGACTTCCGGGGCATCTCAGACATGATCTGCCTAGATTCATGCTCTAAATTTGCATAGCCGTGATGTGTCCTATGATAACACCCAAGTAGGACAGCCTGGAGGCCAGCTCGTGTGGGCACGCACTTGTGTCCTCAGAGAGCTGCTTGTGGCTCAGTGGAAATTATTTTTTGCATCTTCCAGTTGGTCCTGGTTGCTTTGGTTGAGTCCCCTTCTCTATAAAAATAGCTATAAAGTTAATTTTGTCTTTCTCTGGTCCGTGCTGGTTATTTAACATGTGTGTACATATAAAATAGGGCTAAAATAAATAAAATAGTCATAGTGGGGTGGGGGTCACAGAACTGCCTAACTGTCCCAGGTGGTGCTTTTCCATTATTTGTGGTCATTGAGCCTGTGCGGCTTTGAGTCACCTTTACAGTTGCTGGTTTAGAAACCTAGAGGCATGTTGGGGTGTGTGCATATTTCATGTTGCATTAAGCATCTTCTTAGCATGGATTCCTCCTTGACCTGACATGGAGTGTTACCAGAAACAGGGCTGGTCATTTTTCCTGATGCCAGCCTGGTGTCCTGGGCTCCCAGCGCATAGAGGAGCCTATGTGGTTCAGTTTGGGGTCCATAGCAGGACTGGAGACCCTACCATTCTATGCCATATCCTACATCTGGATCCTCTTCTGAGAAGTTGATGAAACAAGAGGTTGTATAAACCAGTACTTCAGATTTGGGGGTCCCTTCGATAGTCTGTGAAGAAACCTGGGGTCAAAGTCGAGCCTTAGTTTGAGTTCCCTATCTTTGTGGGGCTTCAAGGCCACTGACATTCCAAGAGCAGTTTGGCGGCCTTTGTTATTCAGGAACTATTTCAGACACCTTCATGGGTTTTTTTTCTTCCTTTGTTTTTATTGCTTGTATTAGGGAAGTGAAGCATTGATTTTTGGCTGTTATTATTTTTTAATGTATCCTGTGAGAAAGACTCAGCCCATACAACATCCAGTTTCCCTTCACACAGCAGACATGGTGGGTTTAAGTGCTCTGACAGTAGACATGTCTCATGGTGGTCAGGGCATGGGTGGTCAGTCTTCTCACCTCCTCCCGGGGCTGACCTTTGATTAGATTCCTTGACATTCTCTTCCTGTCAGTGAAAAGGCTCAAGATTCCCCTATGTGTACTCCCAGGAGCATTGCTATTGACTTTTTTTTCCCTGGAAAGATCTGCTTAATGGTGCCATCAGGTGGATTTCATTATTATTTTTTACTAGCTGAGTAGCTTGGTGCAGCCCAGCCCAGGTAGATGAGACTGTGCACCAAAGTACAAATAAACACACCTTGTTGCTTTTCATCTTCAAAGGGCTGAGCAGAAGTCTCCCTTCTGGGGTGTGGGATGTTTTTTCCTGACAGCCCACTTAGGCCTTTTACTTTGGGATTAGTGGGGGAGGGACAGGGATGTGAGTAGGAGAGGGCAGGAGGGTAATTTCTGCGCCTCCAAGACTGGTTCAGACACTTTCTGGCCAAAGTCTCCGGAGTAACTTGAAAGTGGGGTTATATCATCACATGCATAAAACAGTTTAGAGAATTTTGGGGTTAGGAAAGTTCATAATCAAATAATCTCACATTATAGACGTGGTCTTTACGACCTTGCATGTTTGCATAGTGAGGGGGAGGGCAGCGACCCTGGTGTTTGCGGAAGGAACATCTTTGGGTGAGCTGCAAGCTGCTTTGCATGCCCCTTTAAACACATATCTTGCTGGATCTTTCCAATGCTGTGGTGTGGCAGGAAGTTAGTTTATGGTTCATGAGAAAGCATCCATACCCAGAGAGCTGGAGGAAGGACCGAGGCTTGGATTCCAACCCAAGTTTCCCTTGGCTCTCGACTTGGGTATTCCCACCCTTCTCCAGGCACAGCGCTTCCATACCTTTCCTCCCACTGCTTCTGTGAATTGGCAGCCAGTGAGGTTGCTTCCATAGACACCCCCTTCCCAAATCTGTTCACGTTATGGTCGCTGCTCTGATTTTAGCAGTCGCTTTGTTTTTGGTAAATACAGCCTCAATCCTTAAGGAAAAATACAGTCTCAATCTTTAAGGAAAGATGGACCATTTCAAAAATAGCACTGGTCTTGCTATGTGTATGGCGGGGTGGCACACTTGGCAGGAAGATACCCCAGCCCACCACCGTGCGATTTCTTGACCCAATGCTGGGGGCTGTCGCTGTCATTCATTAAGCTGCATCTTTATATTTTCACCTTTTCTCATACGCTTATTGCATCTTACAGTTAACAAAAGATAACTACGTGCCATGGATGCGACTTGGAGTGATGGAACTGTTTGTAGCTGGGAGATAGTCCCAGGGACAAATCTGTTTTTGGTTGTGGAGTGTTCCTTGTTCTCTTCCCCTCTTTCTTTCTTTGGACTATTTTGGAGATGCTTGGGCCATCCTAACTCCTGTGGCTTTTTTATTAGCGACACCCCAGGGGGATTTTTAAAATGGCTGCTCCAGCATGCGTGCGTGCGTGCGTTCGTGCGTGCATGCGTGCGCCCGTGCGTGTGCGTGCAAGTTCCTTTCTTTTCATTGTAATTGTTGTTAAAAGAATTTACTCTCTTGGATGCTGAGGAATGACCTTAAAAATGTTTGCTGGGAGAGCAGCCGGGTACTTTGCAGATGCCGTATTTGCCGGTCACATCATTTGCCTGATGTGTAGTGTTGCTCATCAGGGTAAGTGGAATTTTGTGGCTGGGTAGCCGCTCAGCCCAAGGGATGGCAAGTACTTGAGGCAGGAATGAGGGTTTCTAGAGATGCTTGCGTCGATGGGGTTAATCTAGTGCAGCAGGGTTATTCTCAGTTTTGGTACTGTTGACGCTTTGGTCTGCCTAGTTCTTTGTTGGAGCGTGGGTGTCCTACCATTGTAGAATATTTAGCAGCGTCAGCGGTTCTAGATGCCAGTACCACCCCGCCACCTAAACTCTCCCCCCAGCAGTTGGGGCAACCATATATGTCATTACCAAATGCCCTCTGGGGACAAAATCACCCTGTTGAGAGCCCCAGTTGAGAACCTCTGACCTAGTGTGAGCCAGTCCGCTGGCCATACATCTTAAGCATTATTACTGCTCATCCTAAAAATGTGTTCTGGATGACACCCTGGTGTCGTCCTTCTCCCAAGGGGTCTTTTAGCCATCAGGTTTCTCCAGCCCCACGTTTCACGTGAAGATCCGTTCTTAGCTAGAATTGTATCAGCCCCGGCCCTTTCCCTTTCACTTCCCCTTGTATCGTAGTGCAAACTTTTGAAGTTTTATATTGTAGATTTCTTGGGTTGTCTTGGGAGAAATCTGCTGAGAAAGCAGATAAAAGGCAGGTGGCACCTGACACCAAAAGCCACCTGGTTCCCTGAACGTTAAACTTGGGAGGTTCAGGGGCCCCAGGAGGTATGGGAGAAGCTGCCTCAAAGTTTGCCTTGGGAGTCCTGTGTTGAAATCTTAACCCTGGAAGTCCCTCTTCCTCCGCTCTACAGAGCCCTTATTGTTCTTTTCAGTTCCCCTTTCCCTCCCAGAATTCCGTTTCCCCTTCCCATCAAAGGGCTTTACAACTTGAGTCAGTGTTGCAGGTGGTGGGGAAAATCATGTGTA